CCACCATATTCAAAAACCACACTACAGAAAAATGCACGCCTGCATTCAAATGCCAATACGTGCAAACACACCCGTACATTCACTCACACAAACTCCATACAAAAACATGCTCGCATTAAAAATATACAAACACTGCTCAGTGCCAAATACATTTAAAAAAAAAATTGTTTTTTACATTTCAAAGTTGGGAGGGGGTGGGGGGTGCCAAATAAAGGATCCCCCCGGGTGCCAAATTCTCCAGGTACGCCCCTGAGCCACCCTCCTGTTAGCAAACCTTTTGTGTCCAGTAGGGTGGCTTGCTTGGGTTCCTGATAATGCTGGCTGAGGCTGATGGGAGTGAGCATGCAGCAGTTCACTCCAGCCTCTCCTCTGCCTCCATGCTTCCTGTGGTGTCACCGCTGTCTCCAGCCTCCTCCTACCTCCCTCCTACGCGGCAAGAAGCTGGGAGGAAATTATCAGCTGTCACTACCTCCGAGCTAGCCGACGCTACAGAGGCTTGCTTAGCGAGTATTATCGGGCGGCCGCAGATAATACAATATCCTGAAAATCACAAAATCTGACATACACTCCGGGAGAGTTACGAAGTCTAGGTTATCATTTATTTCCTCTGGTTCTACTATCTTGTTGTTAATCCCTTTGCTGCTGTGAGTACTGAAGTAAAAAGCATAATACTCACCTCCTGTCTTTAATACAACTCATATTTTCTGTCGACCCAGGCCTAGGAAAATCTTACATTTTCTATGAACAAGGCATATACGGATAAGTATAAGGGGTTATCGGCAACATTTTAATAAAATAATGAGCAGGACATCTGGAGATGTTTATTGAAAGCCATATAAGATGCGGTCATATAAAAGAACAGGTAGAGTTCTAGAGAAAGTTATATGAGTTATGGGGAAGGCTGTATGGAGCAACTGGATGAGTAAGAGTACATGCAGCAATAGCAGGTGCTAAATAGATGACATCAGATAATTGGGTTATATTTTAAGCAATATGAGGTGTTACAGGGATGTGACATAATATATTGCAATAAGCAGAATTAATAGAATGTAGCCATACATTTATAGGATAGACAGCATGTGGACATACCTTTGAATGGTATAGTTATGAAACTCAGAGCCTAACATTTTAAGGCAGCCCTTCATTCTTCACCAGGTAGGTAATAAAAATATGCTAATTATTTGACCATCCTGCTCACTTACCTACCTATTTGTACACACCACAAAAAAGGCATGACATGAACATGCAATGCTGGTCATGATTAAGCCTAGTCATATCATTTTTAGCTTGTAGGGAAAAGGCAGATTATTTATTGAAAGACACACGATTGAATACACTTATCTCTAGTTTTGTATTATTAACAGAATCTTTCAGAATGTACATGAAGCAAAAACAAGTAAACTGGCATGTAAAATAATATACCATTTTATTTAACTAGTCACAATAAAGAGAGCTCTCTCTTTCTCTCTCTCTCTCTCTCTCTCGTTTCTGCAACACAAATTATCTTTCACAGTGTCTGATTCTCTCTGTCCTCTTCTGTTCCCCTCTTTCGTGGGCACTTTCTGCTGAAGCCAGAGGCAAGGCGCCATAGACATGCTGAGTATCAGGATACCAAGGGAGGTGTTACCAAGGCAACTGGTACCACGTGGAAAGGAACACACGAGTTTGGTATCCCAGCAACATGACCACGTACATCCATGCTGAGACTTTTCTACACACACTCACAGATATAGCTGTGTCTACGTGTATATATCGTGTATATTTGTGTAATCTAAATATACACAGTTTTTGAGGTTGCTACAATCTAATGCAAGACACAATCTAAATCTTTTTCTGTACATTTTGTGATTGTAACTAAAAAGCTGGATAATTCAATACTAAAGAAATTACCATTTAATGTGATGATAGCAACATTTTATATATATAAACACATATAATGTTGCTGTTATATGAAATAGTAATGCATTTAGTATTGAATTATCTTGATTTTTATTTAAAATCACAAAAAGATTTTTATATATGCATAGTAATTATTTTACATGTATAGTTTTTTTGCGTGTAACTACATAAGAATTTGAATGCTGATTTATATGGTATCTGCGGAAATTAATAAAATCAATTTATCTTCCATGCACACACCAATGTTGCCCAAAGGCACTGTTGCTGATATTTATACAGAACTTGTTACACTGATAGCGTTTTAATATTGCCATTACAAATGGAAAAAGGTTGTACAACACAGTGCACTGATTTAGTACATCCCTCTCAAGTGTCCCAGTTTAAGAGGAACAGTTCCTATTTTGGGCCAAATACCTGTGTCCTCCTTTTCTTTCATAATGTCCCTCTTTTCGAGAAGCCCCATATTGTTAGTGTGACTGAGTGTATAACAGAGCTCCACAGCAATAATACCTAGAATACGTGTCTTTAAACTACAATAAATGTGGTTAGAAATCAATCTGAGTACAAAGATCCATTTTTATTATACTAGATTATATTTTAGTTGCATTAATTGTTATTCGTAAATCAACTAAAATTTCTCAGATAAGCCCTGTTCCAGGCCACACATACATGTAGATATTTTGTGTAGCAGGAAAATTTTGTACAAATTCAAATAAAATAAAAAAGTTTGTGAATTAGTGCTTCTTTCACTTTAGATAATATGCTCTGTGAATGTAAAGGTATATGTTTGGTACCTTTTTACCTGTGTGTAGTGTCTTTTAATCCCAGTTGTTCAACTCATGATATACTATTAACCATGGCCGGCACTATCATAAGACGGCACAGGCGGCCAACTTAGGGCTCTCCGGCCCAGGGGGCGCAAATTATTCAGTTGACCGGCGGGAGAGAAGTGCACGGCACTCCTCTCCTGACGGTCATTTACTGTAGCGTGGCCAAGCGCCAGTACCTCCGCAGCCCGGCGCAGGAGGAGAGGGCGCGCGAGTGAGCTCTGATCGAGATCTGCATTTTCTGTTTAGCTCCCTCGTGCGCCCTGTAGAGGTCCTAGGAGCTGGAATATGACGTCATATATATACCTTGCACTTGAAGCAAAATTGATAAATGTCTTTCGTAATCTCTGAAAAAGCTTGTGATCTCTCTCCGCCCAGGCACTCCTACACTGGACCGCAGAGACATTGTAATCCACAAAAGAATGCATTCATTGGTAAGATCCTCGGCTAGGCTGCGAATTGCGAAAGATCCTGCAATCCGTTCCAGAGAAAGTCATGTGAAGTCCGGTTTCCATGTCCGACCATAGTCCCACTGTGGAAGCGTACATACAATGCTGGCATCAGATTCCACTATAAAACAGAAGAGGGTTGAACCAGCCTTGCCAAAAACACCTCTTACCAGTCTTGAGTGGAAGACCTTCTTTAATAAATGACCCTCTTCAATAAAGTTTGCGCCTTAATAAGCGTCGTGAATAAATATACATGCTTTTGTAACAGGTGAGATATTGCGCCACCACTATCACTATGGTTTTTTTTAATATGGAGGAGCTAAGGCACTGGAAGAAGTGTGGTACTCTTCACAGAGCCTTCAACAAAAGACAGATGGCCAGGTACCACACCTTACTGTTTAAACCTCTTTCACCGGAAATTAATTTCGCACTGGTGATGGCTGTCGGGATTGACACTTAGACTCCGCCCTGAGTATAAGAAAGTCAGGTGGAGGAGAAATACAGTAGTCCCTTCTCTGTCTCTGTATATTTCTTGACTCGGTTGGAATTTCAGTGAAATAGTAATAGCAATATTCTATCTTTATGAAATAGTCATTTTTTCAGGAGGAGGTGACAGTGCCGCTTTAAATATGAAATTTACTTTGAATCCTCACTATAATGTGGGAGGTTTGCATATATGTGCATACCTCTCAACATTTTACATTAAATAGGAGGGACACTTTAATTTTAGTGGTACGAGTCAATTGTGGCTAGGGGCGACACTTCTGAGAAATTTTAGATGACTTGCGAATGACAAGTTATGTAACTAAAATGTAATTGTAGATTATGCTAACGTAGTGTACCTATAATCTTAATTTTAATAATGACAGGAGGCGAGTATTTTGCATAACTTTCTTTACTTTATGCCTCCAGCAGCACAAGTCAATCAATAAACTTTAAACCAATCAGTAACAGGCATCACATTCATATATAAAGCCCTGACAGTCACATGACTTCCTCTTTCTTTGATGCGAAAAACAGTCTATTATAACGTCAGGGAATTCAAATAACAGTCCTGAGTAACGTGTAGAACATAACTTGAAACCTTACAGCTTTATCTTGTCGAATCCATCTATGATGATTACGCTGAAAAGAACAGAAATACGTGAAAGGTGATGGAAACCAACTGTTGTCCACATTAAATCCAGTACTATATGTGTCTATATTTATATTAAGTTAATATACTGAAACATTAAACAAACCATAGTATACTTAATAATCAACATGGATCTAACACATATCAACCAAATAAGCATCCCATAAATATACTGAATTACCAAACCTTATAATTTACACTGAGAAAATGACAAACCAAAATATAAAAAATTTCCAGAGTATAGGGAGGGAAACAGGGAGGGAAAATACTCGCCTCCTGTCATTAAAATTAAGATTATAGGTACACTACGTTAGCATAATCTACAATTTTATCACATGACAGGAGGCTTCATATTTTGCATTTTTAAAGCTGTGGTATGAGCGTGAAGGATGCGTGTGTGGTTGACGAAAATAAATATACGGAAGTAGTCTATCCGTGTCCAATTCGTTGCTGAAAATATAGAGGCCCCCTCGTGAAGGCCTGAGAAGCAGCTGCGCCTCTTACCGAATGAGTACCCAAACACGTCTCCACCCTCGCTAGCGATAACAACCAATGAACCCATCTAGACAGAGTGTTCATGGTAACTGGCTTGTACGGTTGGTATAAGACCAGCAGATATCCTGAATGTGACATTCTAAGTGTTGTCGTGATCTCCATGTAACAAAGTACCCCTTTAACTGCACAAAGGCTGGGAAACCGTCGGTAACAGGGAACGATACGGACACGGATAAGATATAGTTCTACGAGACACTGTAGAAATTATTCTTTCCGGTGATACCGAAAAGACCGTTTACGTCGAACTCCAGTACATCTGATACCCGACGAAAAGACCTAAAAGTAACGTGACTCTGGCTAATGGCTGACTGAGGGATAGGACCGTGATATCTGACTAGCTCCAAAAGAACCAAATCAAAGTCCCACACCAGTGATACTTTGACGCATGGTTCTGGACGGTTTGATACCCCACAGAAAATGGCATATCAAAGGCTCTTAATTGACCGGAGTGTCGTGAATCGTGCTATGCATTGTCGAAATCGCGGAACGTAGCCCGTTAATGGAACGTTCCGATCGGCCTGTAGTGAAAAGGTATGATAAAGATCCAGCATCGTGGAGATAGGGGTAATAAAGGGATTGCAGTCCCTTCCCATACACCAGCGAACTCAAGGTGTTCCATGCGGATAAGTTATTTCGGGGAAATACCTGGCGTCCATGAGTCCCATAGTAGGTCTCTAGTTGGTTGCGATAGTCCCTTGACATACCAGTCTCCCCTGGAAGACACCAATCTACCAACTCCAGATGCTCCTGCATTCTCAATGGATGATGTTCTCCTTTTGGATCCGCCCGAAGGCAAGTTAAAACAGAAGGAGCAGAGGATGATCCTGATTAAGGACAACCCTTCTGGGTGTCACGCTTGCCTCCTTTCCGCAGTAATGAGTACTATCGAAGTCTTCGCTATTCTGATCCCAATTTCATAGGTGTGTCTGTATCTCAGGCAGTGAGCTTTCAGCCACTGTCTGGCCTGGTAGTGAAGCAGTCCTGGGAAATAGTCAAAGGGTTATGGTGCCTTTCCGCCGTACCCGTCGAATTTCCTTACGAATCGTCGCTATCAATGATGTGGGAAGGTGTAATCCGCCCAAGGTGGAATCTATTCTGAAATAGAGAGGAACTGAATCACTCGGAACTGGGATCGAACCAACTCCTCTCTGTTCACTATGAATCCCAACAATTCCCGAAACTGTAAACATAAATCTCGTTTGTAAACGTAGTCATGAATTGGATTTGCAAAAGGTAAGTTGTCTAGGTATGTGACAGCAGATACCCTTTGCTTTTCAGTGCACAGTGACCGACTTCAGAAACTTCATGAGGCCCCATGTGAACCTATAGGTAAGTGCCCTTCAAGTCCAACCTTGTAGATCCCCTAAGAGATGGATACCTTCCTTCTTGAGTTGTCGGTACGCCCCAAAACCATTGGGTTGGCATAGGTTGATGACTGGGTGATAGTCTCCTATCTTCTTCCATACTACCAAACCGTTGCTGAGATAAATGGTTCTCCAAATGATAGTCCGTCCGCCTGAGGTCCTCGCTCTTTCGTCCCTAACTTCAATAGTTTGAAATCCATCTTTAATCGGGCTGCTTTGCGCCGTTCTGTGCACCTGTCTGCCTTGCATTCCCCAACCTACATATTGCCCTTTGCACCCATTCCCTCACATCGTGAGCTTCTAGAGGTGAGTCTTGTGTGGGGTCAGGTCCACAAAGTATAGAATTTTTTCCCGGGCTGATCATATCCAGTATTTAACTCATTTTGAGTCCTCCTCCTACACACTGATCGGGACATACATATCACCACGAGCTCCATAGTGAGGACTATCTTGTTCGGACATAGAGGGCGTGGGCATTCCATCCTGAGCCGGTCTCGGATTTCTTTTCCCATAGGCCTCCTAAGCCAGAAGTGGGCCCGATGCTCCAGTTAACCCCATTCGGATGACCCTGGTTGTCGGATGGTGCGTGAGTCAAAACAGGAGTGTCCAGTGTGCCAAAGAAAAAACCTTTCTTGCTAGGCGTGTCTTGTCACTTTTACCTCTTCTGCCCTCCATTCTTTCATGATCTCCAGAGAAGGGGGGGGAGGATGAAGTCCTCGTCCCCTAATGATGGGTGTCCGACCTAACGTCGGTATCTCAATCTTTCATTGGTGTTGCTGCCGTTGCACCCGCTCTGTCGGATGGGTTGTTAGCCAGCATACTGGAGAGGACTTCTTCCCCCGGAGCTGTCATGGCAGCCTTAATCCTCGCCTGAAAATCGGTCGGGGATATTGAGGTAAGTCCGACATGTTGGTTCACACCCTTTCGGTCCGTGGGAGACAGGATCGTACAACAGTACACTTATTGCCACTCAGTGGGCCTCCGCGTATAACTGGGGTCACCCAGAATTTTGATCAATCAGTATCATTTTTGCAGGATCCGGGGAGTGGTCTGAGAATGAGGACACCCTCAGTAAGACCGGGATGAGCGGTCTGCAATGTCGGGACGTAGCCCGAGTCTGGGAGACGTGAAAGCCTCAATATATATAGTCCACGGGGTTCATCTTTATATGGTCTAGAATTGTGGAGTTTTGGCAGCACTGTGAGTTCTCCTTCTCGGTTAAGGGAAGGGCGTACGGAACCCCAGTTGAAGCATAGAGGTGCCAGAATACATGCATCTAGTGCGCCCTGGTCTGTGCATACAATGACAGAGCGTACTCTGAAGGTAGAAGCCCTAGAAAGTGTGCGGGGGGTCACCCCTTTGTACCTATGCCACTAGCACCGGAGTAAGACTCGCTTGGGGTTCACCCAGCATAGGGGGGTCACCCCTGTATGAATGTCTCTTATGGCATGTTGGGACACTCTTTCGGTCTATGGGGTACCGAACAGGTGTCAGGTACGGTAGTACACTTATTGCCACTTAGTGGGCCTCCATGTACGACTGGGGGTCACCCAGAATTGTTTCAATCAGTACCACTTAGAGATTTCCTGGGAGTGGTCTGAGGAGGGGGTCACCCTCAATAAGACCGGGATGAGCGGTCAGTAATGTCGGGACGTAGCCCGTGTATGGGGAGGTATGGTAGCCTCCAAAGTATCCAAGGGGTCACCCTTATAGGATATAGTACTGTGGAGAATTGGCAGCACCATGAGCTCTCCTTCCTGGCTCTGTCGATATACATGTATTCAGTGTGACCCGGTCTGTGCATACAGTAACAGATCGTACTCCGTGGAAATGAGCCTGCCCTAGGGCGTGGGGGTTCCCCCCAGTATATGTATGTCACTAGTACCGGAATAATATTCATTTGGGGTTCACCCAGAGTAGGGGGATCACCCCAGTATATGTATGTCACTAGGACAGGAACCAGATTCGCTTGGGGGTCACCCAGCGTAAAGGGGGTCACCCCTGTACCACAATGTCACTTTGGAGAGGTGTCTGCCACGCTTGGGGGTCACCCAGCGTAAGGGGGGTCACCCCTGTTAATCACTCCGTTATGTGCCTCCACTACTGTGTCCTGGGAGGTGTATCCCTGTGGGGAAGGAGTGTATCCAATGGTTGTGAGGTCCAGTGGGAGTAGGGAGCGGAGTAAGATATCAGCTCTATTTAATTTCCCTGCCAGTAGATAAGAGTAATGCATCCACTATATACCCACAGCAGGGGACAGTCCATTCATAATCCTCCAGATGTACAATAAAACTGTTATTCAACATGTCAATTGTATAGAACAGAATAGAGCAAACTGTCAGCAGATGCACACAGCAGGGATCAGTCCTACATATTCATGCAGAGTTACATATAAAACTTTTATTTCACATGCCAAATTCATAATCTTCCAGGAAAGGTACATATAAAACCTTTATTCCACATGCCCATGAACAGTATTGAGCTCAAAAGTACTTGTAAAACTTTTATTTCACAGGAAAAATATATTAAACAGTACAGAACTAGCCGCCAGTTCGTGGGAATCACGAACTGGCCAAACGACATGGCCGACGTGAATCTCGCGAGATTCAAGATGACCGCCGTTCGCGCGCAAAAGTGCCGTGCGGCCCACGATCGAGGATACGATCGCGGTCTGCCGGCATGGAAAAGAGTCCCCCCGACATCCCCAACCCCCAGAGACCTGCCCTGAAGTCCCAGCACCAATGAATAAAAAGCGTGCTCGCGGTAAAACGCCGCGATCCATGCGAGACCAGAGTAAAGCATAGGAAAGAAAAGGTGCCAGCAACAGAAAACAGGCTAATAAAGCAGAAAATACAGGGTTAATTCAGGGGAAGGGTAACAGGGGGAGAATATCACACTATACAAATCCAAACGGAAGGCAAGTGCAAAATAATGAAAAACGTTTAGGCCAAAATTGCAGGACAAGCTAATAAAGTTTAACAAAAGTGCCCATGCATATCCAGAAACAGTTTGGAGCAAAAACTGAATGTCTAGCATTAAAAATCTAACTAAAGTGACCATAGCAATATTAATAAAAACAGTTGGAGCAAACTGAAAGTCAATTAATAAAGTTTAATTAAAGTGGTATCCAGAAAAAAGTTAGGATTAAAACTGAATGTCTAGCATAAGGTGTCTAA